TATATATATATATATATATATATATATATATATGCATTTCAACTAAAAATGAAAAAACTCCCAAATTCAAATAACGAGTCTACTACTCAGTGTCTATTAATAACCCACATACAGGCCAAAGAAGGAAAGAAAAAGTTATAATCAAGATTGGTCAATAAAAGGAAATAATGGATTTGGTTAATCCACATTTAAGAGTGTATGTTCACTCTTCACTCCAGATTTATACTACAAACAAAATGTCATGAAGTCTGTAATGAATACAAAAAAGATATATAAGAACTCATATATTATGTCCGCCATGTAAAAAGTATTCACGAAGTGAAAAAAAATCCCCAACAAAATAGCTTAATGTCTTCCTTTAACATGTGAGGGTCCAAAATAAATGTACAGAGACATACAAACTGTCAATTTTTCGACAACAACTTATCATCATAATCCTGGTAACTACAGTTAAACCAATAAAAAAGTTATATTGATCTAGAAAAAGTGAGAATTGAGTCTCTAACCTGATCGCTTTTGAGAAGCTCGGTCCAGTCCTTCTTAGCAACAAGCTTCCTTAATTCCGCATCCAACATATTGATGCGATAATTCAAATCTCCAAACCAGAATATCTGACTGTTATTAGAAACATTGATAATAATTCAGATTACATGAATGCAATAACTCACTAAATGAAAGGAACATTATTATAAGTGGAAAATTTGAATTGGCAGGTGTAACTCAGGAATTTTTCCATGACTTATGTGTGAGAGAGAGAGTATTCTAACAAAGGAGTAGGTAATAAGTATTCCTATATGTCCTCACCCCTGACAAAGAAAAGTTTCAAATTAATCTCATAAAATATACTCACTCATGAGATGGAATTGTCTGTGGCTGATCAACATCAAAGACAGATGAAAAATGAGTACGCCTTAAAATCTCGTACACATTAGAATTACGCCTTTGCTCAGCCCCATCCTTTTGACCAGAGGTTAAATGAGAACAGACAAAGCATAACTGTGATTGGAAAAGAGACATACTAACCGAAACAGATCCCTGAACAAAAGATATCATAAAGTTAGATACATATTATTGACAAGGGTAATATACCTTAATAACTCTGCACGATATACGTATATAATAACAAAATATTCAAACATCTGACAAGGACAATAATAAGTATGTCAATGAACACTACGGACATCGAAATTTAGAACCAACATGTTTCTGCATATGGCTTGAACAGATTTATAATACTTTCAACACCTACAATCAATTGATGCAGAAACTTGCTGGCAACAACAGGCCGGGAATGTAATGGTTTCTTTTTATTTTGAAAAGAAGAATTTTCGGTTTATAGACCTGAATACATAAAGTTGCTTTAACTCAAGTAAGAAGCAATACCTTATTGCCCATGTATCCCATAAGCCCAACTCCAACAGGAGAGACTTTTAAGTTGTTTACGTGTCTCCTTATTCTTCTACGAACCCATACCGATACATAAATTCCAACCATCTGCTTACTTACAATCCGCACATACAGTGGACGTGACTTCACTGCATTCCTTGAATGTGCATTTTCCTGTTTGACATCTGATAGTAACTGTACACCAGAATCATCTTCCTCTCCAGAAATTTGATCAGATTCATCAGAGAGAGAACCTAGAACTTCAAGACCATCTTGTCGATCCATCCAGATCAAGCCTAAGTTTCCAGAACTTTGGTGCACTCTTTTCAACCCATGAACACTTAATGCAATATTCTCAGTGCCAGAAGTAAGAGAATTTTCCATCAATTCAAAACCAAATCTTGCAGAACTACTCATTGTTCTTCGTAATTTGAATATGGAAGATAAATCTCGAGTGGTTGTATCCAATGAGTGTTCCGGCCAGTCCAATCTTCTGTCTGTGCTGATTATTCCATTATTTTCATCATTCATGCTACTTATGAAATCTTTTCCTATCATGTTTAGCACAGGGGTATCAGCCACATCAGGAAGTATATCAGAAGCCGAAGAATTCCTTAAAATAGGAGAAGGAGGTGCACTGTAGCATTTATGTTTGGTTTCAGGTTTCAATGATTTGTTTAAAGTCCTGCGGATTATAGCCTCCCATTTTGGAATTGAGCTTCTATTCTCTGCTCCAAGTACATTCCCAGCATTCAAAGGAACCACCTCTTGAAATCTGTATGAGAAGAATTTAGAAGGAATAAAAAATCAAATTGAATTCGAGGGACAATAATTCCTCTCTGAGTTTTTGTTTTACAAATGCATTGAATTTAAGGGAAATCAAATGCACTGGTTCAAAACGAAGTGATAACAAATTAAATATTGTCAGTGATAACTATAAATACATCCCATAAAGCAAAAACCATGTAAGAAGTAAGAAGGGGAAAAAACCGAAGATTTCACAGAGTACTTTTGATTGAAAAATCAATCAGATTGCTTCCTTTTCTTGATCTTGATTCACATAGAAATTCCGGAACTATGGGCCTAGTTCTCTAATTCAAAACCAAACATGAAACTTTGGTTTCATTCGGCTCCTTGATGGAAGATGAGTAAATTCCTAGATCTAAATGTATATGGGAGGAGGTAAGATATATCTTAGGATGCTGAATCAAGCATAAAATTGTGATAATGAATCACTGCGCTTCTAGACATGCACTAACTCCTGTTGTTTTGAGAATAAAAACAGAACCTAGCATTGTACATACCTACAGAAATGTACTTATAAAGATGTATCAAACCTCAGTTCCAAAATTTGACATATTTCTGGGAAATGGTTATGTATATACCCTCAATTTGCTCTGCTTTAGGAGGAAAAATAATATTCAAGTTTACAGTTTGAAAGGGGTAGTCAGTTTGTAACCCAATTGATAAAATATTATCGAAAAAAATTGACTGCAGAGTTTGTGCTGAAACTCAAGCTCTTGGATTGACTTCAAAGTAAGTATAAAGTTCTCCATGGAAATTATACCACCAAATATAGTTACTTAAATTTACTAAGAAACAGCCTGTGTTGACCGACAAGTTATAAGCCATTGAAATATTTACAAATTCACAAGTCCTTACCCAAGAATGTATATATCTGCTGGCTCTTGCATACAAAGCCATTCATCAATTTCAAGATCATCAAATGGAAGTCTTCCAGCGACATTCCAAGTGCCTATCATTACTCTGCACAAAAAATTAACCAATATAATGATTAGTGAATCATCAGGAACAAGATAAATTCACAGAAGATGCATGCTATCAAAGGTAAAACCAAAAGTAAAATTCAATATAGTTATTTTTAGCCAAACCTCACATCTTTTGTATTTATGTACTGAAGACGCAAAGTTTCAGATTTTCCTCTCCGGCGTCTTAGGGAATACTCTATTGAAGGATTCCCTGGATCAACAAGTTTTTTTCAATATATTGCAGAAATAAACTTCCGATCTATACATTAATGAGATAAAATATGTTCTACTATTTGATCTAGCCCCCTAATATAAGATCATTTATATTGACATTTGAAGGTGGACATAAGTTATAATTCAGTAAAAATGAATAAAAAACTTACATGAAATTTAGTCAAAAAGATTGAGACAGCACTATGCACGAAAAGCATCACAGAAGGAAAAATAAAAAAAAGAGAGAGAGATCCATTGTACATGTTCAATTCTTTGTAATCCAGCAGTTCAGAAGGCATAGTTTGGAGGATCCATATTAATGAAGGACCTATTTGATACCCACAGCTGCATATTAACTCTTTTCTTCTTTAATACTGTGTACCAACATACACCCAAAAAGTATATTTATGGGAGCGCGGAGAGGTGTGTATATGTGGTCAGCCATGCATGCAATTGAATCATAACTGCACATATTAATTGAAGCATAAATAGGTATTTGACGGATTAATTATTTACCGCTTGAAGTTCGACCCGAGCATTCAGATTGGTTTCCCTTTGTCGCATATTCACGATCCTCGTGCATCCTTTCATCTTTAAGGGAACAAGCTGAAATCAAATTGAACAAAAATTCATAAAATTAACGATCAATCACGGAATGAATTTTCATGGGCAATTAATTATCTGAACCTTTACCATCATCCTCGCTCTCTGTATCAACTTCATCTTCACTAAAATCATAAACCTTCGGCTTTATATTCAGCCACTTTTTCATCACAATGGACGGCCAAAATGGCTGCGGTGAAAAATGAAAATTTTCACTGTCAATGATCGGAAAAAAAAAATGTCAGAATTGTAATTAGAGCAAATAAAATCATACCTCAGATCGCTTCCCTCTTCGCGTTCTCATAATCAGAAACTAAAATAATGAATTTACGCTCAAAATTCTAATAATGTGACTGCTGAGAGATCGGCAATTCCTTCTCTACTATATATGGGAGCAGACAGCACAGGCTTCAAATCTGCTTGTGTTATCGGAGTTTAGTATAAATATGTTAGTTAAGATGACTTTTAAACCTGTGTTAAAGAAAAATAAACTAAAAATTTACAATCATGCTACACAAACAGACTCAATGACAGGATTAAAAACTAGGAAGACTCGTGGCGTAATATCATTAGACGGTTCGATAAAATAAAAATAAAATTATCCACACTGACAACTCAATACCTATCAAAACATCTGTTTGCAATCCCTGTTTGAGTAGCATTATGGAAAAATTTAATCGAGTCATAATTAGGGTTTGTTTGGTATGGCTTCCGAAAAATCAAAAATTACGTCTAATAGTAAGAATCTAGTTTCTTCCACGAGAAACAAAAAGAATTTTGTTACACTTACATCATGGTTGACAGCTTTTTTTATACTTTGACACGTCATACAATTTTATCGTTAGTTTTAACAACACTTATTCAAATCATTAGCCTCAATTTTGATACCTTAAAGGATGTCAAACTAGCTTAATTCAAACAAAAATCCTATAAAATGGGCCATTAATATTGTGTACCAAATGTACCGTAGAAGTTCGAGTCATGCTACTTGTACAAAATTGATTGACAAAGTTGGTTTACAAAACAACATCTACACTATTTATTTCAAAAACACTTTTTTTTTAAAATCATTTGAAATTAAAGGCTAAGATTCTGCCAACACTTATTTTGTCAACCATTTCTGCCGACTTGTTTTTTACAACTAGATTAATTGTAAAAGTTCGCAAGGCAATTCAAAACGCGTTTGTCCAATGGTAGACTTTGTATATGCTAAATACAAAAGAGGGCGGTTACGACGAAAAGAGTAATGCTTAACAAGGACTCAACTCCTCAACTTGCAACAAAATTCTTGGTGGATTGGTCCTAAAATAACATGTAGTCGTTTTCATCTTGAATTGCAAAAGTAGAATATTATTGAAAACCAGATAAATCCAACTCATAACTACTAAAATATTATCATGTCATTCTTATTTCCACGTCTAACAAATCTATGTACTCTTGTACAAAAGTGGTTTTAGACAAATATATGAAAGTCATCGATTTCAGTTGGATTGGGTCTGACTTGTATTGCTAATTTGAGTTGGTGCATGCATCACTTGACAATTATCAAAAATTCGAGTCGTATAAAGTAATCATGAACTCAACACCATCAGCTCGAACGAACTCAGTTCAAGCCAATCTACTAGAAAAAAAGTGGTTATCATAAAGCAAGTTTGAATCCTAACGTGAGGATAGAGGATGTGGACTTCATTCGACAGAATATTGACTTGTGCAATATGTAAGTGAATACCGATTCATAAGGAAAGCCGGCCTAGTTGTAACCCACCACTCTTTAAGGTCAACGACGTATAAGTAACTTAATGGTAACGTAATATTCTTATCTTATTTCATGGACATTTTAATACATTTACAAATTAATTTTCTATAAATATTACTTACAAGTTATCTGCAACATGATAATAAAATTGTCCACATAATTTCTTGATGCAAATCATTAAGATGATAATAATTAATATGGATGTTGTTAAAACTTTTAGAGTTATTTGCAAGATCTATTCCAACTTTCATGGTATTAGCCAAAAGGTAACTCCTTAAATATTTGTCTTAGTGAATAAAATCTAAGTATCAATATTTACTCAATAAAACAACTTAAGTTATTTTAATATTTCTAATATAGAATATCAAATAAATTACTTATTGTCAAACTCATAATTATTAGACTCGACTTAATTGTCGACTCGGATAAAACATCGAGTCATCATGTCACTAGTTGATCACCGATTAAAATTGGGACCATGTTCGTGATCTGGTCTTCGCCTCGGTTCCTCGACAGTTGTAGGATAAAGACGAAATATTTTGCCATTCCTATTATTCAGCATTCTTAATCGATTAATTGAAAGCGAATATGGTTCAAATTTAATAACTATATTCAACTTACTTATGTGTTAAACATAGCCCAACATGCCTTTTTAAAACATTTATTATGAACATGCTTGTAGGCCAAGTTGCTTGCATGGCTTACGAGTAGAAAAGCAAGCAATGCTATAATATTTGAATGAAGCCACCGTCTTTCCCACTGATTTAACTTAATTAAGTCGGTCATGACATCACGACAAAGTTTTCATACTACAAAACATCCATAATTAAATATTTGAGGTCAAATGGGGACATAATTAGATTGTAAATATCATATCTTTAGAACATCTTCAATAATAGTATAAAATAGAGACTTGAAGTAATCGAACATCTCTTCAATGGAGAGATGTAAAGAAAACGCAAAATATAATTAAAATAGTTGTAAATTTACATCTCTTTTCTATATTCACACAGGGTGGACCCACATGGGGTCATGTGGGGTCAAATGACCCCACAAAATTTTGCCTCTTTTTTTTTCCTTTATTTATTTATTTTTTTTTTTGCAATTTACTTTGATGCACTCGTCGGGATGTCAAATGAAGTCAAAATATTGCATTCTTAATACCATTTCGAAGTGCTCATGGCCTAATTTTTCACTTATTAATGCATGCGAAGTGGTCAACTATAGCAAAAGTTATGACATGTTAAAATAGGGCGTTTGAAATTAGTATTTTGAGAATTTCGATAATATCCTAACTTTAAAAATTTGTTTGCGATCATGTGCTATCTGAATCCACAAATCGTCTATACTATGTAAAAGTTTGTTTCGAAAACTACATCGTTTTCATATCGAATGGTCCAAACGGATATCGAAAATAGTTAAATATGTATCAAACGTACGCCTCAAAAAAGACGTCTAACTCGTTTTTTGTTTTAAAAAATTCAATTAATTATTATTTTTGCACGATAAATTTTTCAATATAATTTATATCGTTTCATTTTGAAAGTCTTACGTGAAATATGACGTAAATTTTTTAGGGTCATTATGAATTAAATGCAATTTCAATTACTTTCGAATTATATTTGCTTTAAATTTGAATTTCATTTACTTCCTGAACTAAACTTGAATTTTATTTCAATTCATTTAATTTCTATATTTAATTTAATTTACTCAATATTAGCTCAGCATTTACCAATGAAATGATAAACAAAACTATACAAGTAGCAAAATTTATTTAATAATATTAATAATGATGTAATTATACGATATTTTCAAAGTGTCAAAATACATATAAATTTATTTTCATTGATATTATGTTGTTTATTAAAAAATTATTTTTAAAATTTTGATCCCACAATATTAAAGGTCTGGGTCCGCCCCTGTATTCACAAAAGACGAAAAGTGGATTTAGATCTTTTTATCGAAGTAAAATTTAGATTTAAATTTATTGAGATATAAATAAGAATGTAAAAGCAATTTTAAATATACCAATTAACATCCAATTTTACACCTCCAAATGCTCTTAGTCTTAAGGTAGGCCCATGAGCCGTGGCAGATCCAGGACACTAAGAGCCTGTTTTGGAGTGATTTTAAGAATTGATTTTTTGACCGTTAGGAAAAAAGTGGGGTCCACCTGTGAGAGAAGAAATCAAATATGTCGGCTGAAATAGTAAAATAACGATCAAAAAATCGATTTTTTTGGGAAAAAAATCGGGCCCAAACAGACCCCTAAGTCAAGTCCCAGTTAAGATTTGTTTTTGAAAACTTGATAAAAATTATAATTCCATAAAATTTTTTATTAAAAATAAATTTTAAGATTACGAGGAACATGTTGACTAAATCAACAGTAGCCCAATTTAACTATAAAAAAAATTTATGACTAAATATGATGGCCACGTTTGATCAACATTAATTGGAAAAAAATACATTCTTAAACAATAATTTGGCATCATTTCAACTATATATTTTTTAATAAAATAATGTTACACGTAAATAAATAAAAAATTTCTTATTTTTTAACCATACATTTCCATCATTACACTATTCAAAAATACATTTTTATAAAAATAATGTGGCTCAAACAATGGCGATATAATTTTATTTTTATTTTTTTTAAGATTTCAGTGGACCTAGAACCTCACCCACCTACCTTCACCACTGTCTGTATAAAATTATGTATTTGAACTCATTTTTTGGGTTAGAATGTATTTAAAATAGTAATTGATGGAGAGTATGTGGTTAAAAAATAAAAATTAAATTTGTATGTAATATTATTTTATTGAAGGATGTGTAATTAAAAAAAGAAAAAAGAAAGAGAGAAAAAGAGATATTCAGCCAAAAAAGGGGGAGCGGGAGGGGGGGGGGGGGGC